TAGTTTCTAATATAATTTTATTTAAATATATTTACTTTTATAAAGTTAGATACTTATTAGGGGCTAGTACTATAGTAATACTAAGAGAACTAAAAAGCTAAAGCTTTTATAGCTTAGTAAGTCTACTTTTCTTTATATTTTACTATTAAGCTTATTTTAATAGATTTAAAGCTTTAAAAGTAAGTAAAACTTATTAATAGATTTAATTATAAAAAGTTTTTATTTTAAGAAAAGAATTCTTAGTCATTAGCTTTTTAAATAATCTAAATATTATTTTATATCTTTTAGAATACTAAGGTATTACTAGCTATAAAATTATAGTTTTAATTACTTTTACTTATAAAAGAGATTTAAAGTAATAAGTAATAGCTACTATTCTAAAAGCCTTTAAGTATAATTAAGTTATTAAATTATAATTAAAAATAAATTATTTAGATTATAAATAGAAATAACTATATAGAGTAAGTGGATTTAACTTACTTTTTAAAAATAATAAAGATTTTACTAATCTTAAGTAATATAACTATATTTTAAAAGCTAAATATAGAAAATAAAAACTAAAAATCTAAAACTCTTATATAAAATCTAAAAAACTACTTAGAACTATACTTATAAGTATACTAATAACTTAAATAATTTTATTTATTAAATTTAAATTTATAAAACTAGAAAAAATTAACTTCCTATAAAGGTAAAAATAAAAGGAAATATATTTACTTTTTCTAAAATATAAAAAATAGATTTTTTTATAGCTTTAACTATTTTCTATTAAATTATAATTAAACTATTTTTTAATATATAGTTTTTAAAAAGAATATTAATATAATTATAAAATAAGTTTTATAATAATTAATTAATTTAAATAATAATTACTTTTAAGAAATTTAAAATATACTTATTAAATTTAATAATTAATTTAATAAAATAATATCTATATATTTATAACTATTAGAAGGAAGCTATATAATAAATAAATTAAAAAGTAATAATTATTAAAATTTATTAAAAAAAAAATAAAAACTATTTACTTAATTTTTCATTAAAATATATAATAAATTTTTTTAATAAAATTAAAATCTAAAATTAAAAAAAATTTATTACTAGAAAATTACTACGCTATATATAGTATAAATAGCTTTTTTTTAAATATTCTTATTTTTAAATTATAATTTTTATAATAAAAATTTAAAATAATTAATATATATAATAATATATTAAACTTTATTTAATTTTTATAAATATTTATTAAATAATAATATATATAAAGTTTCTAAAATTCTTAGAAATAATATATAATTTAATATTTATTTTTATTATTAGAGTTAAAATTTTTATATAAAAAGATTATTTAAATAATTAATATATATATAATAATATATTAAACTATATTTAATCTTAATAAAGATTTAATAAAAAGTTAGTAATATTAATAAATTTAAAAAACTTTAAAAATAATATAAAATTTAATATTTAATATATATATAATAATATATTAAACTATATTTAATCTTAATAAAGATTTAATAAAAAGTTAGTAATATTAATAAATTTAAAAAACTTTAAAAATAATATAAAATTTAATATTTAATATATTTATTATTTAGTTTTTTTTAAATAATTATATTATATAAAAATTAAATAAAAATTAAAAAAAATTTAATATATAATTATTAGTTTTTTAATATTATTATTTTATATAACTTAAGCTTTTTAAATAATAATATAATAAACTTTAAATTTAAAGAGATCTTATTATAAATTAAAATATAAAAAGAATAGAATATCTTAATTAGGCTTAGCTTAGCCCTACTTAACTTAGTATTAAATATTATTTTTATTATAACTTATTAAATAGCTTTTAATTAATTTATTATTAATTAACTATATAACTTATATTATTTATTAAAGCTTATACTTAATATATTTCTTTAAATATTTACTTAATATAACTTAGTCCTTATATTTAAGTATATAAGTTTATTTTTAGCCTAGAGTAATCTAATTAAAAATACTTTACTCTAAAGTATATATATATAAAAATTATTGATTTATAATTATAATTATAGTTTAAAACTTATTTACTAATAAATATTTAGTATTTAATTAAGGTTTTTAATATTATTTATTACTTATGTCTAAATATTTATAAGCTAGTAATATTTTAATAATACTAAGATTTATTATTAATTTATAAACTATTATTTAAAGTTATTAACTTTAAATTAAAAAGATTTAAAACTAATTTATATTCTTAATAAGTTTTCTTAAATTATATTTAACTATATTTAAATTCAAATCTTTATTAACTTTTTATTTTTTTTTATTTCTATAACTAAAGTTAAATTAGCTTTAGTTAAAATTTTTTAGAAATTTATATTTAAAAAAAATTAAAACTTAGTTTTAAATTTATATAAATATTAATTACTTTTATAAAAGCTTTAATAATACTAAAGTAATTTAAATATTTATAATATTTAATAATTATTAACTAAGCTTTATTTATAATAATAACTTAATACTTTAAAAAGTTTTAAATTTCTATTATTTAAAATTATTACTATAGTATTCTCTTTTAAAATATAAACTTCTTAATTATAATATTTTATTATTAACTTTATTTAAATTTTTAGTTTTTATATTAAGGTTTAATAACTAATATTTTTAGTTAAAGTATTATTTTTATATTAATTAGAAATAGTTTATATAATTAAGATCTTATATAGACTTTAAAAATTTAAGCTTTAAAAAATTATAAATATTATTATTAATATTTAAGGCTAAAAAGATTAAAAGAGTTAGTAGTAAAGAGATTATACTTATAGTTATTAAGAATTTAGCTTAAAAGAAATTGATAGTAAGAAATATTATTAAAAAGATTAGCTAGAGTATATACTATACTAGTAGAAAAAGATACTACTAAAGTAATATAGTATTAAAGTTAAAGGGCTTAATTATTATAAGTAGTCTTAGAGCTATAAGATTTAATTAAATTAAAAAATAAAAATAAAAAAAGAAAAAAGTAAAAGAGGCTAAAGACTCTATTATTTAGTTTAAGACTTAAATAATAATAATATATAATAAATTTTATTATATTTAATAAGTATTAATACTTAAGTTAATATAGAAATACTATAGTAAGTAAGCTTAATAATAAAATAATATTAAATAATAATTATTATAAGCTATTTATATAGAAACCTTTACTCCACTAAAAGTAGGATAAAATTAGTAGATAAGATATCTTAATAACTTATTAGTTAAGCTATTTATTTAGCTAACTAATTGACTATTCAAGTAGACTCATTGGCTAAACTAACTAGTTGGTCAATTAGGTGTAATAAACGACAAAAGCAAATTATAGTCCAGTCCAACGTAATGAATATTTTCCGCAATTGAACTTTAGGCAACGCCTTATGGAAGCAATAAGAGGCAAAGAGTGCCCAAATATATCTAATAAGCTATGTTGAGATTATGTGGCTATTACTAGTACCCGCAACGAGCTGTTCAATTCACTCGAGTCTCGCTTTAACAAGAGTGTTTTCGCAATTGATCCGAATCTAGACAGTACCGCACGAGATGAGGAAGCGTGTGGGCTGTAGTTATAGAGTCCAAGGCCTTCTTAGTCTTCAATTATATAGCGCGAGTCATAACGGAAGACATACCTAGTATGTGCAGGCACTACTGCGAACAGTGGGAAAGCGTCGATAACCACCCATTTGAGTAAGAATATGACCATCATCTACACTTTCGCAATCTCTAGTTACCTTCATCAAATACGCCAAAGCGACACAGCGGGCGATGAATCTTCGCCGGGGACTGATTCATCTTCTGTCCACTCAAGTGTGAGCGCGGAAGATGACACTTAGTTTTCATAGAGCATAAGGGCTTGCAACTTAATAGTTTCCATCGTTCAGTGTTAAACATATATGCTTACGCTTTAGGGACCTTGCTGCGGTGGTTGGCAGTCCCGTCAGAAATGTGCAAATTCTCCTACAACGGATCTGGACGCAACTCTTTGCCTAGGAAAACGAATGGCGTGAGCTCCTTTAGGTCTTAACCCTTAATCGCAGCACTTGGTCTCGCTACCGATATCAGGCATAAGAGGAAGTTCCAGGTTGAGAATCTTGACCCTTATTGAGGACTGGAAAGCCCTATTGAATTTCAAAATTTGAATAGACCGAGTTGTTCTCAAGTTTGGCGTTTACAAACCCTTGTGTCGTGTCAGATACATTTCACGGGCAAAGAGGGTTCCCATGTTTAGCTGCAGTCACATGCGGATAATGATGGGAACCTTAACGCTGCCATTTTAAACAGATGCCAAGTGGACAGGACTCTATGCAGGGGCTAATGTTGGAGCGGGAGGTCGGAACGTTATGCGATTGGTGATGTCTCAAGCTGACGCAACGTCCAGGCCGCTTGCATCCCAAGATCTCCTGACCAAGATTAATAATGTCACCGGAGAGGAATCCGATTCGTTTACAAAGGTAACAACGATCGACTAGCTGCAACCTTCATACGTACTGAGATCGCCCCTAGACCCTATACTCGACGGAAACTCTTCGATGCGCGGCAGAATCGCCCGAGTCCCGCCTGGCCCCCGAATGTTAAGCAGCGATGGGACGGACGTAGTGGGGAAGCTTAGAGTGAAACTCAATAGCGCCTTGGCTATCCAATTGAAAAGCAGCTCCGTTCCAAATACTGAAAATTTTGGCGAGATATTGAGGGCTCTTCGTTTCATGATTGTCAAATGCTGCTAGCTACGCTCTAGTATGCCATGCAAGCGTTGATAGATTCCGCTTTTGCCTCTGAGAGATTAGGTAGCCATCTTAAGGCTCAGTACATGCATCGCGGGATATCAAATCTATCCGTAAAGCAGCCTCTCCGAATATAAGAAGCAAACACGAATCCATACCATGATCAATATCCTCCTCTTAAGAAGCAGGCTAAGCCTTGTGTAGTGACAGTCTTCGTTTGTGCATACCTTCCCCAACCATTGCATAATGTATCTCAAGGTCCTGGTACCGCTCTTCGTGGCATTAACAAACTCTCACCCATTCCTAGGGTTTGGGAGCAACAATGACTGGGTTCTCGTTGAACCAAAACCAGGACCGAACCCTCCTGGCGAATGGAAGTCATTTCAGACTGTTCCACCAGGGAAACAAGCAGATTTTACTCTGCAAAACGATCAGGCCACCTACGTCTGGACAGACTCTGGAGTGAACTACAAAATCACTGCCGATACTAAGCCTGGTCCCACTGGCATCAATGGCAACTCGATCATTGGCCCCTATACATTTACCAATGGGACCCAAACCGAAGTCGCTACCTTTCTAGAAATGACGAACGATGTCGAGCTTTTTTTTGGGGATCCGAACGCGGATGCAAAACGAAAAGCCCATATGCTCAGCAACATCGACAACTTGTTAAAGACCTGCGAAGACGTCACCAACAAACTCGTCTGCCCTCAAAATCGTGACGATCTTGTCCCAGTGCACGATGAGCTGCGCCGTCTCCTCAACATCGGCGAGATCTCATTCATCATCATCGACTCGTTCCTCGGGGCAGCTGTCGGAGCGGCTGGTACTGCTGCCGTCCAAGCGTGGAACCATCAGAACATCACTGACCAGGCAGTACTGATCAGCATTGAAAACGCTGCCGTAGTCACCGGATTCGTGACCTTCGGCCAGAACATGCGAGCGTACCTGACCAGTCAAGCAGGCCAGGGCCCCGGCGGCTCAATCGTTGGTCTCACGTGGATCGGAATGGCGCACAGGGTGGCCATCAATATCCGGGCCATGACACGAGGTCAACGGCCACCTCTCCCCATCCTTCCCATCACGTCGCAGCAACAAGCGACAGTGAGTCAGACTGCTGATATCTTGAGCGATCCGTCCAATCCGTGTACCTCGGTGGAAGCCGCGCAAGAGGCAGCCAGGGCTGTTGCCACGGCTTCGGAAACTGCACCTGCGATAGAAGCTATCGGTATGACAAACTTGGATAATGCTCAAGCGCAACTATCGACCGGAACTCGAGCAACCCTTTACTAGACTTCACATATCTGACGTAGCCATGGTCGCAAAGACAAGAGAGTGAATGCCGAGTAGTTGTGCGTAAGCTTTAGATAGCTAGATATGTATCAAGCGGTTGAAGTCTAGGCGAAGGTTCTGGTGGTCAAATCTTGTAACGTACTTCTCCAAGGCCGTTGTTGATTAGTAAATAATATAAAAATCCCAATTGTTCTTCCCAATCGAGAGTGGCGATTGATTAACTCGGCTGACATTACTCTGCAGGCCTGATAAAGCCCTTTAGCAGCTGTTGAGGACGAACGTTAAGGCTTGAGTTAGCGTCCTAACCCTTAAGAGACCTCTAGCTACGTCAAGGTGATCCTGAGTCAATACAGAGGTAGGTTACTTTGAGGAAGGAGAATGTATAGGATAAATGTGTGAGCAAGGAGAGAAGCAAGGAAAAAGGAGCAACAGCTAGCGCGAAGATAGACAAGAAAGTGAATCTTGTATAAGTTACGCGATAACTAACGGCATCTTTCACTGCGCAAACATTTCGACGGATCTTGCGATAAACTTGAGGCATTTTGCTTGTTACTCCTAAGATTTCAGCCACGTTGGAAGCTGCGTCCTCTGCGTTAGCAGGTGTTTATTGCTACGTACGAAGCTTGCCGATTGCAGCTATCCTCGACCTATAGCCTTTTTTATCTCGAAAGGTCCTTTTAATTAGTCTGCCGACAAATTGATGCTCCAATGTCCTTGCATAGAAGCAGCCCTTAGAAACACAAGGTGTTCCACAACAGGCGCAGAGTTAGGATATTTAAACATGATCGGTGCAATAAAAAGTCTATAAGTGCGTGTGTTTACAGAGACAGCTAGAGCTTCGTTGCGAGCGTCGCTTTTGACGTTCTGTAATAATGGTATTGAACGGACGGATCACGACCTTGTCGAGACGTACAACTCGGGCAGCTCATATCTCACTGCTCCAGCAGGCGCTTCTAATCGACTTTGTTCATCGTCAAGCTCTCTCGTCCTCAAACCTTGCGGGTCATCGCCGTGTACTTCGACCGTTGTGTGAGGCATTTGTCCCGCTAAAGGATGCGAAGATTTGGCACTCAGCTCCGCTTTCTGCCAGGTAAATTCTTTGCTTTGTTTATGGTATCCTCGTTTTCGACCAATGAAATAGCATATACCGCTCAGCACGGCTACTCCAATAGAGCCGCCAACGGCCACGCCGATAATGGTCTCTCTCGAGGTAGCTCCAGATGTTTTTTTCTTGTCTCTTGAGATTGGTGGCGGCACACTGGGACCCGATAGATTAACATTCTGACTGGGATGGTCGGGGTCATATCTTGGGATAGTTCTATTAAAGATTTCTACGTTATTTCCTAGCGTTTCTTGCCACGAAAGCGCTGGTCTTGCACCGCCGTCGGGACCACCTCCAACAATGCTGATCACGGCTGGGGGAACCCTATACTTTGTGTCATTCAAAGGCCATTGAGTTTGCCATTCGTACGTTGTTGTATCCAACATCTTCATTGCAGGGTAATTCTGATCACAAGGGGTCTCATTAGCATGCTCGCCATCCTGGCCGCCTAGTACGATGAGCTGGCGATCCTGATACGTATCGCAGAAGTGATCCCCTCGACCCAGGGACGAGTTTTGGAGAGGCGTATATTCGGCTGTTGTGTTGATCTTTATCCATTCAAATGCAGGCATAACAAGGCTATACGTATCACTTAAGGTACCTTTCCCTATTCGAACACCACCATAGATAAGCATTTGAAAGCTCGAGTCATCAGGTGCAGCGCTTATACCGGAGCAAAAGCTGCCACGTGGCGGGGGTATATTGCCGGTGGCAAATACAGTAAACCATCTTCGGCCAGCAATGTCATAAATTTGAATGCTGCTCATGTCTCTTAGTTGAACTCCAGTCGAGTTGTGCCACTCTGACTCCCAACCACCGATAGATACCAAAATGCCAGCTTCGCCGTAGCGTAGATACTGGGTAGTAGGGTCCCAGAAGTAGGGGACGTCGATATCCGTGACGTTTTCCCAAGACGGCTGGCTGGGATCGGAGGAGTTGAAGATCACCATTCCTTGAATGTAATCTATGCCGCCTGCAATGAAAGAGAGGGAGCCCCCGCCTTTGGCTGTAGAGGCGACCATAGCCGTGTCACGGTTGTCTTTGTTGTAACGTCCTCCCGCAACATTTACGGAACTCCAAACATCGTCTTGTGTAGAGTATGCGGGAAGCGCAGACTGGCTCATGTCGTTGTTACTGTAGCCACCAACAGTATAGAGTGTGCTTTGATTTACACTAGGAATCGTCAGTCTTGTCTGTTCGTACATATGGGCATGTAAAGCAGAAACCTACTTTGTCCAGAATGCGCCAGTCACGTTTGTGGGGCCTTCTATACTCCTCGGAGTTGTCTCGACGAAGATCGTGTCGTTATGGAAGTATGAATTCCTCAGCATTCCATTCAAGGGAAAGGAGCTGCTGAGATCGAGAGAGAACAGCGACGTTTCTACATCGAATGTATCAGAGATGTTGCCTTTGAGTCGAAGGTGAGGTACCATTTGTATACATGGAGTCCCCGAGAAGAACGTAAGATCCAGCCATGAAGTAGAGCTTGTTCCGTAGAATCAAAGCTTGTTCTGTTAGTGCGATTGAATAACTTAGAACCAGCAACACAGACCTCTCTGATTAAATAGCGTACATATGTCAGCTGCAGCTACATGGCGTACTAAGACGTAGAGCAGTAATAGCCTCATAATGGGGAAAGGTCTCGTAGTCTTAAAGTCCTCCGACTTTAGTCACACTAGAACTGGGGATGGGTAAGGAACAGTCAACCTTCTGAATCATTGAAAATAAGGGGTTTACTTACGATTCCACGACGGAGGATTTGATTACATCTGCGAGCACAGAGCTCTTTTGCAGCAAAATGATCGCCGATGCGCGACCAGTAGGTTGGGTGTTAGGTGCGCCGACTATGCCACATGCACACTGTGTATCACGACTCCGTAAGAACGTAGCTCGAGTGTATTGTGGTTGGCCATGCATGGAGAAGGATGCTTCTTACTGCTGCAGATGGAGGCTTGGGCCTGCAATCTGTGAACAGGAAACGGACTGCGCCTCGTGCACGCTTTTCGCGGCGAGCTAAGAGCCCTGTGGGAGATTGATGTCAATCAATACTGCACTCCCCTTTGACTCGCATATGTATATTGTGAGAGCGGCGCAGCAAGGCGTGGACGCTGGACACGCATCCAAAAGGAGTAGCGACCCCCGTGCGTGCATCTCATCGCCTTCTGATACGGATCTGAACCATAGATCCCTCAACCTTCATGCAAATGGAAGATTAATCTGTATGAGAATGGTAGGCGACATGAATAGGGTGGCCAACTGCGTTTTCAGAAAGCTCAGCGTTTAGTGCTGCGGACTCAGCCTTGTCATCAACCTCAGCAAAGCTTTTATTGTTCAACATCGATATCGCTGGTGAGTTCCCTAAGTGCAAGGTTCTCTCTGCCATTCAAGACACACCTTCGTCAAGACCTTAGTTGTTGGTCGTTATATGATGCGTTCTAGATGGTGCCAGTGAAAGGGTATCGTGCTGCATTAGAGCTTTGCATAGCTTTTCGCGTACAATATCACGTCCCTAGCTCGCTGTAGTGACAGTTGCCGACGCAATTCTGTCTCCGTCGATTAACATTACACATGTGAAAGAATAGCTTCGCCATAATCTCGTCTCATAGCAGTACACCAATGATTTCACCTTGACAGTTGTGCTAGCTTCTTCCCGAATTGTTCCCTTGGCGATGATTTGATTTTCTCCCCTTGAGCGTATACTCCTTTCCCCACATATTTTTATCAGGCTCTTCGTACCGCCTAATATACTCAATGAGTTGCTAGATGCGCTGGTAATCGCCACGGTCTTCTCTTGACCAGACGACCTTTTCATCCATGTAGGCGGCCTAGGATTTACCACAATCGTGATTACTCTCCACAGAGCTCTTCGGCAACAGTCTTGCAGCGCCACAACCATGACCTCGCACGGCCACCCAAGTCGACCTCAAGAGGGGGTTGACCTAGCCTGTCGAGAGCTTTGTTCATCTAGATAACGCAGTTTCGCCTCTGCCAACCCACGCAACTGGTGAGATGACCACACTCCACTGCAGCGTTCTCACGCAGTAGCACACCATGGACATCTCATGTGACCTTGCGGTTGCCCAAATCACTCTTGTAGCTGCACGATATTACCATTTCCACTAAGCATCCAGCCTCTGCCATCATTGTGTGTCCTGGTCTTCACCAACCCCCGTGCTTAACACCCTAGCCAACTTCCCTCAATATCGCAATTTAGGGTATCTCGAGGCAATCGTGGGCAACAACGCTTCCGTGAGCGAGAGGTAGGGGGGCTGGGGCGTTAAGGAGAGGAGAGGGGTCAAGGCTTCTTGTTGACAGTCTAGGTACGTGCTTAGATCTGTTGCCTTCATGACGGAGACGTGTTAGGTGCTCTTGTATGATTATGCGAGCAATCTTTATGAATTGGCGGGTGAAGTATGTATCTATCACGAAGAGAATCCGAAGACATACCATATAACATAGCCAGCGTAAATGTTTCTCCGACCCGAGCTTAGCGCGTCATTCTCGCGTCGCATCGCGTCGCGTTGTGTCGCTTTCTATCAACAATCTTGAAGTTCTTCCGTAACATCCCGCCTACCTTAGGCGAAAAGCTCGATAGCGACGAATTAATCGCTCTTTACCAGTACGAGAGCTTCTACGGTAATGCTCACGACAACCTCCTAGCTCTCGCTACAAGAGCGGACAAGAACGTAGTAGGCAATTTCCGCACCCAACCACATTGCTAGTCTCCTTGAGCTAACCATATCCCTTCGAGCAGGAGCCTCCTCCTTCTCCTCCTCCCACCTCTACCCGCACACCTCACCTTGCGCAATGATCCAGATCCACCATCGACGTCGAGACCATCGCTCCTCCACGCAGGAAGCCGCACCGGAAGCTGCACCGGAAGCCTCACAGACAAGCGCTCTCCGCGAAGCATCCTAGCCATCCGATCGACCACGAACAATGGAAAAAAAGGATGACATCTACGTGAGAAGAAGCGCAAAACCAGCGCCCGAATCTATGGCGCTAGAAGTACAACACCGCTCTCTTCTAGCCCTCTAAGGGCAAAGAACCTTGCGAGGGACATTTCAGCATTTCAGGAATTGTATGTACATCTTCCGCATTACTCGCCATCCCATCAACAATCACAGGGGCGGGCTGCAGGGGGAAAAGCTACGGGTTAGGAGTTAAGAAAAGCATTTCTATGACATGTAGCTGGAGTGAACATAAGGGCTGTCAAAAGAGTTAGTGGGGAGAGATGAGCGCGGTGCGGACGAGGAGGGGAGTTTGCGGGTTAGAAGATCTGGGTGTATATGAATAGTATGAACGAGGGATAGGCTTGTCAGACCAACGAAGCGAGGGACTATAGAGAGCAGAGGGGAAAGTGGGGGTGGGTCTACAGGGTAGATTTTTGTAGGGAAGGGTGGGCTGGGACAGTGTAACGGAAGCGGTGGAAGGGCAGTCAGTCCAATAGATCTTGCGAAGAAGCAGGGGATGGAGAAGCATAGTGAAGGAAGAAAAATGAATGCAGTCTGATGCTCGACGGACAAATCTTAGGGGTGGATAATACAATTCTAAGCATGTTGGTGCAGGCTACAGCAGAAGCGCAGCTAAGCGCTCCTAGTCTTGCACGTCGTGCATGTCATGTCATCGTGCTTCTGCACTGCTTCGTCAGCCTCTGATCGTGGCTATTGTCATTATGCTTCGTTGCCCTTCGCCCCGACCTCATCCACTGTGCTCTCCAGCGCGACTGCTATCCTCCTCCACGTACGGTCTTGTTGCCAGCTTTGCCGTCTTGATTACGTTCTCGTCGAACCATTTCCGATAGTCAGTGCCCGCCCAAGTCATCAAGACATGAACTTTCTGGATAATCTGCCAGATTCCGCGGTTGTCGGCCGTGGTTCCGAAGTGCATAGGTCCAAGCATGATCTAGGGATGGTTTGTTAGTCAAGCGTGACTGGTAGAATTGGACGCGATGAGGGTTATCGTGAGACATGCGTGGAAGGGGACACGAGAGGCAAGACTCACGAGACTCCCCTGGTCCTCCGGATCTTGCGGATCGCCTGGCACACCAAAGAAAAGGTAGCCCGTCCAAATATGCTGATCAATGACAATAGCCGGCGCAGGCATTGTGAAGTCCCATCCGTGAGCCAATCTCTTATTGAAGCCTGCTTGTGCCCATACTGAAAGCTGGACACGGGGGTCGGGATCGGCGACTCGCTTGATCTCGATATCGATGCAGAGTGCATCGCGATAAGAGTTCGATTGACTGAGACTGGCCCAGAGTGGATGATTGAGACATTTGCGGTACCAATCTTCAATGATGCCCATATCTTCTCGGCTAAGAACCAGTCCTACAGTCCAATCGATCATCTTGGTGATTGCTGTGGTCTTCAACCGCGAACTTGCGGTATTGCTTGTGCTTACGGACGCGCTTTCGTCTCCATCTCCGAGTCGGATTGCAATGCCACCAACGATAACGGGACGTATCTCAAACGGCGCGATTGAACAATTTTCACTGTTGCCGCCTGTTAGCCCGACCATAATTTCGGTGTCTGATGGGTGAAACATACATATTCCTCACTCGGCACCTCTGCCCATGCTCGTACGACCATATCGTGAACTCCCGCAAGAAGCCAGCGATTGTATGGCCCCATTGGCGTTCGTACGCATCCGTAGCCATGTTGTATTGTGCTTCGTCTACGAAAAAGTCCACTCTTTCCTTAAAATCCCGAAGCTTCTCCGCAGTGAGGGGGAGGGGAACATCTTCAGTAGTATACTCTGACTCTTGCGGCACTTCACGACTCTTCCTTGGTGTGTTCGCATCGTCTACAAACTTATCCTGAAAAGGGTCAATTATGCGCATCTTCGACCCCAAGCTTTATGCTATGTTCTCTTACCTTCAACTGTAGCGGAATCCCACCCACGGGCGTAGCTTTCAGCTTATTATACAACTCTTCTACTGCTTTAGGGATCGTAAGTCCCTCCTGGCGAAGCTGTGTCATGTCGTATCCTCTGACTGGGGGTGTACAGAGAGCCATATGGTGAAACTTCACAGCGTTTAGCTTGAAAGGGTTTTCGACGCTTTGGGCCTGATCTCTCGTTCTGGAAGGAGATTCGCTCTTGGGAGGGGACGAGGTGCGAGTAGTACAGGCTGGGTTCAGCTTGGGAATAGCTCCCAGTGGGCCAAGACCCGCATTCGCCTGCGCTTCAGCAGCCCGACGTGCCTTCTCTTCATTCGTGAGTCGACCCATTGTTCTCCGCCTCTTTTGGGGTAGTTGGGTAGGCTCTAGAGGTCGTTTGAGTGTCGTTTGAGGGGCTCGTTGAATGTTTGAGGAGAGGTCTGAGAGAATTCGTCGTGGGGCTGGCTGTCGCAATGTCATGCAATGTGTGCTACGTGAGCGTGCTGTCTCGCTGGCCACGTCACAGGTCCAGCTTTGGATACGAGTGCGTAGATCTGAAGAGGGATGAGGGGGAAGCATGAGGGATATGTAAGCTCAATTGGTGAATGAACGTGGAGTGGAGCCTGGGAAGTGAAGTGAATGCAGTTCTTGTCTTGTGCGACCTGAAAGAACTGTTGATGTTTGCCAAGACTTTGCGGGGAGATTCGCACTAGCCCCAAAGTTGTCTAGTGCGCTTGTGGCTCGGACTTGATGCGGACTTAAGTGATAGAAAGATATGGGCAGAGGGAGACAAGGGAGAGAGATGATGTCGTGGCATTGAAGATCAGAGATTCCATAGTGATGCACATAAGTCAATTGACTTCGTATCCATATGAGAGGTATGCCCAAAAGATCCGGCGCTGTTGACGCTTCGAGAACGGTGATGAGATTGTTGAGGCACTGTCCGCGGAGAAGGGAGGAGCTGAATTGAGCATTTGACATTCTCAAGCAGATGGTACAGCCTTTCTACATTTGACTTCTGATCTGTACTCATCGCCGAACGGAGTAGATCCTCCAGCCCCCCGCCGGCACTTGTGTTCTCGCTTCTATCTTCGCTGCCCCAGACGGAGGTGGCTTCGCTCTCCCTCTAGCTGTTCTCCTCCGACCGAGCAGCGGCAGACCCTTTCTTGCGGCTTCTCACACCGGAAGTTCGCACGGCTGTTGCAGTAGGGGCAGGTAGGGCTGCAGTAAGTGATCCCGCCCCTTTCCGTCGCGCTCTTGCGACCTGTTGGCGCCAGTCAGCCGTTCGGATACATCAAACCGCCAGTGGCCCATTAGGGATTCCAACGAAAGTGCCATTGCTAACAGTATCAAGATTGCGCATATCCCGACCCGTTACTTCTCAAAGGCATTATGCGCCGCTTCGGATCATCTGCACATAGGAGTATGCGATCAAAATGTTGAAGGTCCCCAGAAACCGCCAGCTGGGTCCGAGGTTGATCACCTCTTTCCTGTCGGTCAAGCAAACACTAAGGTCGTCCAAAAGCTATCCCGAAAAATGGTCCCAGGCTGGATATCTACAATAGCAGTCATGTACGCCATAGGCCTCGTCTCTGGTGATCAACCCAACTATGACACAGGCTACTGCTACTACTGCGACGCACCCACCAACCCCGCCCTCGCAGTCCCACCACTCTGCGTATCCGAATGTCGTCCTGCCATCAACTCCCTCTGCGGAAGCTCAGATAGCCCAGTAGATCTCAGCGTATCCCACAACGCCACAAACAAAAACTGCCAAGTCCTCTACAAGCCCGCCGTCTATGAGGTCCTTCGAGACGGCGCGCACGCCAAAATCCCAAGCAGCGACGAATGCAAAGCGACCTACGAGCAAATCCTCTCCACCTGCGTCTCCACGAACGGGGCAAAACCCCACCAGGGCGCCCTTGGTGAAGCCGACGAGCAATTCTGCACAAAGGCTGGAGGCGGCGGCACATTCGGGTGGAAAGATGATGGCTGGGTGATGGAGGACACGGCTCGGTACATCATCAGCTCCACCTCGACCGCGCACTGTGGCCAAACCAAAGCGTTCTGGCACGATGAGAACTTGAAATTGGTGACGTTCCCCAATTTCGGGATCAAAGCGGGCGAGCAAATCGCTTTTGGGTCGCCTAACCCACCATCACCACCACCTGCAGTGCCGCAGGTCAACCCGGAGGATGTGAAGCCCAACCAGGAATGCGGCGGTAACACGGGTACTCAGTGCACATTCTTCAACAAGCCGTATTACGCCATGAAGGGGAAAGACCCGTGGAAAGAGGGCGGGAAGGATGATATGCGGCATCAGATTGTATACAATGGGTTCTCGGATGAAGATGACGCTTCGCAGTCTTCGAAGATGTTCAACTCGCTTTATGATCGTTGTGGGAAGTATCCTGGCAACTTCCAAGGGTATTTAGACGGATCGCATCGGGTCATTGATTTTGATCTGTATAGTCCGGGAAAGGACATGTGTCGGTGCATTGAGGACGCTATCTTTGATGCGAGTGGAGGGCTGGTGGTGCCGGAGAAGGAGTTCTGTAGTAGCTCCACGCACGGGAATGTAGCTAGTCTGGCTGCGCAGTTCTTTAATGTTCCTGTGCATGATGAACTGAGACACTAAGCACATATACAGTTTCAATAGACCTTATGGGCGTCCTCGATCGGAGAGAAGGTTGTGGTAATGTACTTCCTGCAGCAAAGAAACCCTACATATCACAGGAATTTATCTAGCAGAAATTTCCTATATCCTTACAGTCCACAGCAACCCCAGCCTACGTCGGCGTAATAAGATTCATCTCCCTTCCATCCGTCAGCGCGAGCACGACCTGCACCGCCGTCGCCCCCACCCACACAACGGCCGTAAACGCCGGCAAAATCACCGCCGTCGGCAAAGCCACAATAAACGCCCCCAACGTCTCCAGCGCAGCAAAGACTTCGGGCTGAGTTACAAGGTCGCTGACAGCCCCTTCTATCACACTCAAAATAACCTTCATAAACCCCCAGTAAATAACGAAGCGATTATCGCGGGTGGGCACCCAGGGCCCATCGATGCGCGGATTATACGTCGAGATGTTGTTCCATAGAATGAACTGCTGCTGCCATTCGAGTTCGACGGCGAAGGCGATGTCGACGCTTTGCCAGATGATTTGGCTGGTGAGCTTGAGGGCGTCGAGGGCCCAGCCGCGCTTCGTCAGGGGTTGAGATGCGATGGTGGAAGATCGTTTTGCTAAGGCGCTGTGGGATCTTAAGGTGGGATCTGCGTGCGAGTCGGGAATTGTGCTGCGCGGAGAAAAAGGCGGGTCTGCGACGATTTGTAATGGGTCGTCGTTGCTCATCTCTTGGGATAATTCTCGACCGAGTGGTGATGCAGTAAGAAGACATGCGCTCATGATCAGGAGCCAGAGTGACACGAGCATTTTGCCGGAGGGTCGTCCAATAGGGAGTATATCTCGGGCTTCGACCCGAATATGTTACTAATGCGATACAGTGCAATGTCTTGCTATTGATGAGAATTCATCTGCTTATACATCACATAGGTATCCAAGTTAAATTCCGAGTGACTTGGGCTCTAAGGTCTCGTACCAACTCATGCCAGTGACTGTCGCATCTATACTCCCGTTTCAGGGGTATTTAGTCGTGTTGCAGCGGTAGACGGCCCGTGCCAACATCGCGGGCGTCTCGACTAAAGAGAGAAGCGCAACCAATGGGATAAACGTGATAACAAAGTAATATAATGGTGTTATATAGATGCGTCGAAGTGCCGGTAGTGCCTGCGACAAAGTAGGCGAAGCCGAAGCTAAAGTCGACACCGCTCTCATCGAAGTCGCCAAAATTGAGGAGGATCTCGTCGACGTATGCGGCAGATCATCGTCGTCGGTAATCACGTAGAGACTCATGGCCCCAATCCATCGATAGCGGTGCTGTCTAATAGTGCTATTATACACGTCGCTGATATTGCAACTCCAGGAGTGGCCTAGCGGGAGAGCGCGCCTTTTATTAAAGTACAGAGTCGGAATGAAGTCACGTGGGCGAGAAGGTACTTTCATTGGCCTGCGGGGTTGTTGTGAGGCCCCTTTACGCCCACCCTAAGTCAGCCTTCCTACCTCCTTTCCTCGGTGTGGTAATGGGGAGGAAACTCACGATCAACAAGGTAACCCTCTTGCTTGTGATTTCAAGAGTGTCGAGAAACGCTTGTGCTGCGCTTCCTTGCCTCGCTAGATTCACCATTTCGAGGGCGAGGGTGCAAATGTCTTCGCGCTCTTGCGCGTTCGGCTGGATTCTTATGTTGATGAAATCAAAGAGACTCCCGAATTCGGCGGCGTTAGCTGCGGTAGACTTGACGATCTTTTTGAAGTCGGATAAGCCGAGGAGATAGGCGATTTAGGGGATAAGATGATGCTTAGGCTAGGCGTCTAAAGCAAATGCTATCCCGGACCAATTATGTTGAGCAAGAAAAGGGCAATAAGGACTCGACCGGAGAAGAAGAAGGCTATCGTGAATAGAATTGAAATTGCTCGAGGCTTGATATTTGACTTTTGAATCTCGAACCGTGGTGTTGAGAAGAGGAGCTTTATCCATTTCTGAAGGGACTTAAAGGGTCTTTCGGGTTTTGCAGACGTTTAACAAAAGCCACCAACCAGAAGCCAATAACTGACGAAACGCTTGGGTACAACATTGTGCTCAGCGAGTAGACATCACCTGCTGTTGTGTTTAAAGGTTGCTTTGTCGGTCTAAATAAGTTTTTCACCAGGTATCAACAATTTCTATCACAACCACTAATCTACCTTAAAAGTCCTCGAAGTCGTTGTGAACGAACCGACCGAGCTCAATATCAGCACCATCAGTGATGCGTTCATGCTTACAATACTGCCGCCGTACAAAGCCGAACTCGTGATCGTTGCGGCACGGTTTGAGAGCATCAACAGTATCGCCAAAACAATCGTAGTAAGACCCGTCCCCTAAATACTCGTCCTCCTCAACAGCTTTGTCAATGCACGTGAATATAACAGAAGCAACGCCACCTCCTTGTTGCAGAAACATCTTTGTATGTTGAGACGTTTGCTTCTCCGCGCGTTCGGCCACCTCATGAAAAGAGGGAAAGCGCTTCTCACCTAGCAGGTCACGGATGAATAAGAAGGCATGTGTGTATCCCTGACGCAAGGTGTAGCTTGTACGGAGTCTAGCGTGAAGAGGCGACGGGATATACCGTAGAAAGTGATCATTGAGACGCAGCCATCTATCGCCTTCATCTTCAATGTCAGCACCACTCTCCGATCGGAGAAGATCAAAGATAAGCGCCGCCTGAGTTCTCAAAGCTTCAGCCATCCGGGGGCTGATGAAACCTTCAATGCACTCGGCGCACGTACATCCGAATCGTATTTGTTCGGATAGGTGTTGTCTGGGATTCGTAATATGCATGAGCTTGAGGACGCACTCATGTTCGGCGTAAGTAAGACCATCGAAGTCATTGGATGCTTCCATAGCCATATCCATATATTCTTTACACAGTCTCGTCTTCTCGACACGAGCAAGGGCAAATTCCAAAGGGGTCTCTCCCTCCAGGTTGCGCGCCGTCTCCAAGTGATGTGCTTGGTCGAGGTCGAAGAGGAAAGCCAAAGACCTAGGCCTTCGATGTGCGGCGATGTGCATGATATTGTTGCCATGATTGTCTTTGGCTACCCATATAGGGTGATCGCCCGGAACTTCTTGCAATCGGTCTCTCAAGATCCCAAGCAGATGATCATCTTTCGCTGTTGTCATTTCCCTCGTGTAGGGCCACTCCTGGTTACCATGATACTTTGGCCCTTGCAAGGCGAGAGGCCGGCGGTAATCGGCGGCAACCTTCAGTGATTTAGAAGGATGGGCCTCATCTTGAGCAAAACCATAATAAGGGCTCGATCCGATCCTGCGAAAGCCCACGGCTCGCCAGAACTCTTCGGCGAGGCTGAGCAACGCCTCGCCTCGAGCAGTTTCTTGCGGTGTTGGCATGGGTAAATGGGGAGCGCGGGAAATCTTGATTTATTTCTTCGGCCATCACGGCTGGCATCGTTGCTGCGAACATGCATTCTTTGGAGGTTGCTCTCGCCTTGTTCCATAGCTCTTGTACCATTGTCTTGCCATGACCTTGGCCTCTGAATTCCTTCTTGACGAACACTGAGGTAATCAGCAATATTCTCCCTTTGTTGATTTCCTCCCCCCAGGCACCAGTCCCTCTTTTCACAGGATGCTGATAGAAATCCAATTTCAGGTTCCCAAAGCGATCGAACATGTACACACCAAACTCTTTGACATCATGGTCAGGGCCGTCCATCTCTTCGTAGAAATGATGACGAATTCGAGCGCGATCGATGAGATAGCCCTTGCAATGCCCAACCTGCACTGCATCTTTAGTAGTGGCTGTCACCCTCACATCTTTGCACCAAGGGTAGTCAAGATCCTCGGAGTGCACATCTTCACTGTCTCCCTCTTCATCTACAATGATGGCAATATGTTCCTGCATTGAGGCTGTACTCGTTTCTGGAGTAGCTTCTGGGGCGAGGTGGCTGTCTGTACGCTTACGCTTGGAGGCTTTGTTAATTAACGGCATGAGTGAGATTTGCTGAACGCATTCGCCTTTAATGACCTTTGGAAAGACTGTACAATTTCTGCCAGGTAAGCGCAAGGAAGAGGCTTACAAGGGCAGCTGCGGTTTGTGCTGTTAGATAACCCGTGGATGTATATTCACCTAAGAGAAAAATTCCCTAAATACGTGACGCAATGCGACACGTCCCACTAGCAGCCTCCTTTAGCGTGTGCAGGATATTATTAAAACCTTAGCATAAAAAATCTTCTATAATAAAAAACTAGTATATAAATAAAATGAAATTAATATTCTAAATATTATAAATTAATTTAAGATATATAAATAATATAAAAAAAATTTAATAAATACTTTAAATCTTATTTATTTAAACTTTAATATTATTAAAATAAAATAAATTTTAAAATTTTTAATTTTTATAATTTATAAGTTTCTTATAAGTTATTTATAAATAATTTATTATTAGTTTATAATATAAAGTTTTAAATTTTAAATTTTAAAAAATTTCTTTTTTAATAATATAAAAGTCTTTTATATTAAAACTTTAATAATAATTTATATATATTAATATTTAACTTTTTATATTTTTAAAGTTTTTTATAAAATTCTTTTTCTTAAAAAGAACTAGAATTTAATTATAGTATATAAAAGATTATATTATTAAGAGATTTTTTTAAAAATAATAAATATTTTAATATTTTTAAGAAAATATATTAGTAAAAATTTTTAGGCTATATATTATATAGAAAGTATAGAATATAGAAAAGTATATATCTACTTTTCTATGTAAACTATAAGTAGTTTATAAAGTAAGAAAATAAAATCTTTTTAAAAACTCCTTCTTTAATAAAAGGTATTATAGCTTAAGAAACAACTACTAAGGCTACTTTTAATATAGATTTTAAATCTTTAAAAACTTTTAAAATATAAGTAATATTAAGTAAGATATAAGTATTTTAAAATAAAGAAAAGATTTATTTTTACTAAAACTCTATAGTTTTTCGCTAAGCCTATATATATAACTAGTTAATTATAGTACCAAATAATTTATATAAATTATAAGATAATTATAGCTCTTAGTACTAGAATTTTTATTAATATATTATATTTATATTATATTTAAATAAAAATAAAACTTAAGTATAAATAATAATTATAAAGATTAAGAAATAAAATTAATTTATATAAAAATAAAAATAATAAATTAAAAATATTATTAAAGTATTATTTTATTATATTAATTATTATTATTATTTTAATATTATAAAATATTAAAAAATTATTAATTTTGATATTAAATTAAATTCTTATTTTTAATTTAAACTTTTTTTAAATCTTTTAATTTTACTTTATAAATTAATAACTTTTTAAATTAATTTATATTTAGATTTTTAAAATAAGATTTTTAAGTTTAAAAAAATTTCTTTTTATTTTTTATAAAGAACTTAAATAATAATATTAATATTATTAAAATAATAGTTATAAAAAGTTATTATAATTAAAAATATATAATATTTATTTATAAATATTAAGACTTTAACTAAGTTTTAATATATTATATTATTTTAAGTTATATACTTTATTAATTAACTTTTATTTAAATTTTATATAAAAAAATTTATTATATATTTTAAATTTATAAAATCTTTTTCTTTTTATTACCTTAGAGGGAGATTAAAGATTCTTAAGACTAACTTAAAGAGACTTTAAAAAGAACTTAAATATAACTTAAATTAAAAGTTAACTTAAAATTACTTTAAATATACTTTAATTAAAGCTTAAGTATAGATTCTAAAAAAGAGATAAACTCAAGGTTTATTTAAGGTTTATTTAAAGTATAATTAAGAAAAGCTTATTTTAAAAGAGTCTTTATATAAGAGGTAAATTTTTTTAAAAAATAACTTTTTAGAAAACTTCTACTAGGGGTATCTTTAAGATAAACTTTAGGTCTCTTTAAAGAGACCTTAAGTTAAAATCTAAAATAAAATAATATTAACTTAATATCTATACTTTATCTTTTAGGGCTAGGGCTTTCCCACTTAGGGTTAAAACTTTATAATTTTTTTTAAAGTTAAAACTTAAAAAAAATATATTAAAAATTTAGAGTTTTAGCGCTATATAGCCACGCTTATATAATATAACCTTTATTTTTATACGATTTAGATAGACATATATATACCCCCGAGTTTTCCCGCTAGTATAGCTTTATTAAACCTTATATTATTAAGATATATTTATAGAAGTAAAGTAAAAAAAAAAAAATTTTTTTTTAACTTTTATTAATAATATATAATGTTTTTAGAGTTGAGCTCAAGTCTTATTTAAGTATAGTTTAAGTAGAACTTAAGTACACCTTAAGTACACCTTAAGTATACTCTAAAGTAACTTTTTTAATTAAATATATCTTAAGTAAACTTTTTTTAAGATTTTAACTTAGTACTTTAAATAGCTTTTAAAACCAATTAAAGATTAAGCTTTTAATAATATAATTAAGATATTTAATTTAAAGTTAACTAGAATACTACTAGAGTAAAGCTTAAGATTCTATAGCTTTCTTATAAGATAATAAGATTTATTTAATATTAAAGATTAATATAAAAATGTTTAAAACTAATTTCTAAATAATAACTAGGTATTTTATTTAAAAAATAATTTTAAAAGTATAAATTTATTTTTATAAATTTATTATTTTAAGATTAAGTTAATAATAAATTTACTTATATAAATATTATTTTAAAGTAACTATATTAAAATTTAAAATTTTTTATAAAAATAAATAGAGTTTTCTTTTTAAATAATTTTATAAAAAGTAGTTTATAAAAGAGATTTTATTATAAAATTTATTTAAATAAATTAAGGTAATAGTTTTACTTTTTATTTATTAACTTAATATTTAGTTATTTAAATTAAAAATCTTATATAATATTTATTTTTTATATATTTATATTTTATAATTATATTATAAAGAAAAATATTAAAATATAATAATAAAAATTAAAATTAAAATTATAAAATATATTTTTTAAATATTAAAATATAATTTAATTTTAATATTTAAAACTTCATATAATTCTAGGAAATTAAAAAAAGATTTATAAAAAGAAAAATATTATATAAACTTTATTTAATTAATATAATAAAATATATATTATAGTTTTATTAAAGATTTTATAAAATTATTATTTATTATTATAAAATTTATAATACTTTCCTTAATACTTTAAAAGAATACTATTAATATATAACTTATTAATAATATATTATTCTAGTTTTAAATATTTATACTTTAAAGAATAAAAGAGATAGGGATTTAATTATAAATATAGTCTCTTAAAATCTATATTTATATTTCTTAACTTAAAAACATATATAAATTGTCCTATTAAGTAAGGTACACTCTGCCCATTCTCCTAATCGCTAGGTCTAAGACTATATACGACTTCCCGTTTAGCTTCAAAATGGCATCGATATCGCAGATTGGGATTGTCTAGCTCGCCGAATCAGCTTGGTCCAAGTCCGTCAGATGCTGTGTCATCTAGTTGAACGTGTCCACTGTGGTGCCGCTGTACAGATACCTGTGGGCGGCTTGCGTGGCGAGCGCGGAGTCGAGGATGATGTCGAGCGAGAGCGTGGACTCAGCCAAGTAATCTGCCTTCAGGGTACTATCAGCCGCCGCTCCCTTAGTCGAAGCGTCCCAGGGGTAGATATGCGCGACATTACTGCGACAACCCGTCTGCTCGGGCCAGAACTTGCACGCTTCGCCCGTTGGGACTTGGTCGAAGGTGTGATCGCTGATCTTAAAGATGACGGCTTTATCCTGGACCCAGAGGGAGTTTTTGGCGGGGGAGACGACGGCGCCGAGGACATCGGCATTAATGTTGCCGAAGTTGACTTGGGAGGCGAAGCGCTCGCCTTTCAGGATCTCGGGGAGCTGGACGGCGTCGGCAAAGTAGTCGTCTACGCCGATAGGGGCGGTGATGGAGTCGAGAGGAGCTTTTTAAGGACTTGTTGGAAGAAGTGGTCTAGGGCGATGATTACAAATTGGTAGAGTTTGGCCACCGCGGTTTGCACTTCGCCACACTGGACCAATGCGCTGCGCTTTAGTCAGAGTGTTGTTTAGGTGACAGTGAAGTTACTTACTCTGGCTTGTTCAAGCCTTCTTGCATTAGAACACCACCTACAATAGTCGCAGCTGCCGATTCAAACGACGCCGGCTTCACAGCAAGACTTAATGAAGTCGCTAGGTCGTTGATTATAGCAACAGGAAGGATAAGTCCCGCGGAATATATACGCGGGGTGAAGAATTGTTTCACCAACATCGCTATGGAGTGCTAAACGGAGATTATAGAGTTGGTGAATGTCTGCTGCAGCTTGTGCAGCCAATTTGCGAAGTGAGTGATGGCGAACCAGACGAAATCGGCTTTAGGGTGTGCTGTGCAAAAATTCTACTCCAGACCAGCTCTTGTGCAGACTTGACTCGAGATCTCGTCGCATTGCTCGGTGCGTTCATTACTAGCCAGGAGGAGGATAAGTAATGGGAAGTTGTCGTTGACTGTCCTATCTACTCCTTGCCAGAACGCCTTCCATAATAGGCTAGCACTAGGATTATTAGTGTGTGAATTTGAGGGGATATCAAGACTGACTTATCCAGTATCCACTAGTCGATATTGTACTGATTCCATTTATCAGGATTCCTGGTGTCAGACGCAACTTTCCCGCCCGAGTTAATTCCGCAAACATCGCCAGCGACGTCACGCTTTGAGAAGATACTGGGTCCACTCGCTGGGCTTTGTGCATGTGTTTAAATCTATATCAAACGCACGAGTCTTGCTAGGAGGGGTGAAGAAAAGGGTATCAGCACTTTGAAATGTCAATCAGCCGTTCATAACATATCGAAGCGATAAGTGTACATGTTTGCCCGAGGCACATCGCCTGCATTGCCTTAATAAGAGCCATCGAATGGTGCATGTGCCTGAATTGATACTGACAGGTGGGAGACTGGGTTGGTCGCAATAGGCTTACTTTACTGTGACTGTCTTGTATACGAGGCGCAAAAGATGCCTTAAGTAGACGTCGAAACATCAAAATCTCAGTGACGCTCTTGAGCCGAATGCGTTATGCTTTGTGTGATTTAGATTCCCGTATCTATCGGGCCATTCGCCTTGGTATATCAGCCTCTAGTGTTGGGTTTGCAAGCATATGATAGGCTTTCGCGTTGGAAAGCGCAGTTTCGGCTTAGCATAGTGTATTCATGGAGGCGGTATGTTTGACAATCGAACTTTTCTGCGCATCGTCATTACTTTACTAATGGGGCCATTCATTTAGGTGTTTTTGTGCACATTTAGCAATGTAGGTACTCTGAATCGACTGTATTACCGAGCGCTGGCGTATGTTTCAGCCATTAGTTTGGCGATATAGAACGCTCCTTAACATGGGCTGTAGAATTTGCTGAGAGTCTTGGAGGTTGTCCCTCAAGAGAGTAGGGTGGTGAATTGAAATTTTCTAGAAGCCTTGAAGCGAAGCGAACATGCGAAGCGAATATAGTGTCCCTGGGAGACCTATTATAACGATGAAGATGACAGTTCAAGAGGTCTTGGGTCAGATTCGGTCAACTAAATAAGCGAGCATGATCAGCAGAGCCTCATCAACCCTCCATTCACCTTTTCGACCTGCAGATGGCCTAGTCGTTCCCACATCCCAACTCTACAAGTTTACTTTCTAGGTTTTCTGCGGGATCAGAACAGAGTCGGTGCCCACTTCAATGGTCGTACCTCCTTCTAGTCCATGGTTGCAGCCTCGCATGTGCGCCGAAATTCTATTGGTAGAACATGCTCCATTTTAGTACTCTTAAAGACTTCGAATTCGGTGGCATGTTCGGGTTCTTCTAGTCTTGCAAGGGTTTCCGATCTATTTTTGCCAACAAGCGACATACCAACGGCAACGCTGTTCATTATCAGCGTTGTTCGTTCTTTCCCTAAATTTGGCTTGCTTCGAAAAAGTTAAAGCGTGCAGAATTGCGGCCCAAGTATGCAGGCAATCTTCCCGCGCGAACCATCATACATAGGGACCTGCCAAACATGCATAATCTCGTCGCTTACAGCGCCGATCGGCCTGATTCGTGCTTGTCGATCATGGCTAAGGCTTCAATTGCGGACTTAGCCTTTTCTTTGACGGAGAAGCTCGATCTTCGGATTCGCTCGTATCTTAGCACTGTCGATCAAAGGAAAGACCGAAACAGCCCGGCCCCTGTCTATCTAAAGACGGGGAATCGCCTTATGTGCGCTCCGTCAACCTGCCAGGTAGCATAGGGGGTCTCGCAGCAGTGCCACACAAGCGAGGGAGCTTCCGTCTGTCTTGGTTGAAGATCGAGGATAATCGTAACACCTAACGTCTCAGGATCAAGCTGTCAATAATTGTTCCTTCCCTTCCCCGTCCTTTGTTCCTATCTAATTTCCTTGAAGAGTCTTGTTGCGTCGGTAAACAAGATTCTAGCAGGCAGAAAGAGAGTCTCGACGATCATGTCTATCAAGGATCTTTCTCCTGATGCCACTCTAAGTGGAATAGTCAAGTTTCTTGATAAGCTGGAGTATCAAGACGATAATTTCGCAAACCGAAACGCGCGACTAGAGACACTGAATTTGGTCTGGAAATCCACAGCTGAGCACTTTGAGAACCTTATCAGGGCAGAGAAAATACGTGTCGCTCCGAAACTAGTCTATAAAGCCATACAACCTAGTGTTCGAGGCAATGTATATAGTCTTGGAAACCTCTCCATCCCTCTCTTGGTGGACTTGAGCATCTATTGGACCTTCTTCTTTATCAACGAACTTGGTGGCTTCAAAGACCCGAGTATGGAAACATTCCTTCCAGATCTACTCAGTGGTGCTGAGCAGAGGAGCGAATTCTGGTTTCTTATGAACGAGCACCTTCCCAGATTGCTCAGTCACTATGGGCCATTCTGTGGGCTGACCATCTTCCGCTCTACCTTAGGCTGGTGTCAAGGATCGTGGTTGGAAAAAAGGAACATAATCGGATATCCTGGAGCACATCGTTATCCCACCTACTTGCGGCATCTAACAGGATTGAGTGAAAATGGTTGCGTCTCACTGTTCCCGAAAGAGATAATCGATGAAGATGAGAATCTGCAGCATATTGCTGTCCTTCTCCCTCACATGGTGACCTACGTCGATAAGGTGAATGACCTATTCTCCTTCTACAAAGAAGTTCACGACCCGGACGATCGAATAAACGCAGCCACAACATATAGCCATGCACACGGAGTAACCTTACAGGAATCGTTTGAATATATCGTTGAGGAGGCTGTCAGCTGTCTCGAGCAGATCAGAACCGTCTTTACTAAGGGAAGAGTACCAGCTGTGCAAAAGGTTGTCGAGTCTACCCTGCAGGGGTATGTAACGTATCACATCTGCGAGGACAGGTATCGATTAGGAGAGCTCACTGAGAAAGGCGGGGACGATCCGAACGCCACTGAATTCTCTCGCTACTACAACATGATCAGAAAAGTTGGCTGGTTCGACCCAAGCGAATGGCCTCAGCCTCGAGATGTCTGACGATTGGGAAGAAATCTTATTAGTCGGGACAGGAGGGTAATTCTAAGTGCAAGTACTAGCGGGCAATAATTAATGCGTTATGAGAACCTAGGCTTTAGAGACGAAGCTTTTATGTTAGATTAATTGCGCTTAGGGACAAGTCTCTGCTCTTATCGTAATCACTGACCTAAGTCTGACTGCCGTGATGCCCATAACATAAGAAATGCGTAGGGGATTAGGGAGGCTAGATTGGAATGGCGTTTTTAATGTTACTATTCCTGATTCCGTGGGCAACTTGCGGGACCAAGTGTTCTATACCGACAACCAAGGCGCTACTTGCATCGGCACTCGCCAAACATGCCACTATTTTAAAGGCTCTCTGAGAAGCAAGCCGGTTCCGCAAGGTTATATCTCAGCTCTTGCCATCCTGACAGCATGGCCCAATTCATGCTGGTGTCATATCCACGCCATACTATCCTGACGATATTGCTCGCCATAGCAATTAAGTTAAGACTAGGTGTTTCGGAAGGTGGCCTGGATGAGTAAAGATGAGAAGAAACGCCGACAAAAATAGACAAAGCTGACCTCATTCTCGTTTCGTCAACGATGGTAGATATGGATATCAACGAAACAACAGAACCTCGACAAAAGAGATCCATCCAAAATGGCACATGGCTCCCGATCGAGAATACACGTCTTCGGGAGGCGGTGGCCGAGTATGGAACCCAATGGATACGAATAGCGAAAGAAGTCGGAACACGGAATGGAGACTAATGCGCGAAGCGGTGGAACGAGAATCTCAATCCGGACTTGGATCATGGTCCATGGGCTGCGGAGGAGGTGACTAAATCCATCTTTTCTCCTTCCTTTAAACCCCGGCTAAAACCTCCACAGGACCAACGCCTCCTCACAATGGCGAAAACCTACTACGGGCGCAACTGGAAATTCATAGCCGACCACTTCCTCGACCTACGCGCGCCCTTGGCCCTGAAAAATCGGAACTCCCTCCTCCTCCGACGGCAGAAGCGCCCACCAACCCGCCAAAAATCTATACCCATCTCCCCCCACCCCCGGCCACAACCATGATCCTCAGCCCCAACCCCTCGACTTCCTTGCAAACCACGCCAGCTTTTAGTATATCAAGCTCCCTAGGCGCCATGGACTTCGCCACGTTCTGGTAAGAGTAGCAACCCCATCCATCGTGCGGACTTCGGGGCCAACGGCATTAGCAACCCTTTTTTACGGGAGCGTATAGCGCCAGCGATAGCCAAACTGTGAAATGTATCGTGTAGACGGAGACGACATCGAGCCCCAGCTGGGAGCATCTCTCATTTCTCAGCAGCAACGGGCTGGACTTTTGCAGCGCCTCCCCTGGCACTAATGGAACCAACGTGGACGCGGAGGAGATGGTCATATCTGGGAAGAGTATAAGTCAAAGTCCACTGAAGAGTAGGGATGGGGATGGGGATGGAGATGGGGAAATGGGAGGGATGGGAGACGCGGCGCCAAGGGTGAGGGGTTTGGGCGAGGTGAAATATTCAGTGACGTGTTAGTGGGGGAAGGTCAAGACGCTGATAGGGCATTTGGTGGATGCAGCTATAGCGGAGACTGCGCAGTGGACGGCGAGGACGGCGAGGGATAAGTAAGTGTCTATTATGCTGAGGTTGAAGGTTTGATCTAGTGTGAATCTCCGGAGAGAAAAGTCTATAAGTTATGTGTTTGTTTCTCTAGGTTGAACGGGGCTCAATCCTTAGGAAGATAGGCCGTACTTAAAGACTCGAGTGCGGCCTAAATGGTTTTGAGCCTTTCTAAATTGGTCCTTGGAGAAAAGAGCGCGATTTGGTGAGTTCATTCTTTTCGTATTGCCTGAGACAGATACTAATATTGTTCACAGTGAAGAAGAAGCAGGTATTATAGTGCTTGTGCCTTCCGGCTATGTCTCTAAGTCGCCAGCACTGGACTAGCGTGTATCGAAGGCCGACGATGGTGAGAATGCTCACTATTAGCGAATTATAGACATCTTAATCTCTCTATTATAAATTTATGTATTAAACCGATGTCACTTTTTGTTCGATACTTCCACTTATTCGTTTCTTCTAAATCTTATCCAAAGTCTATATACCCTACTCGATAAAGAAGTAAGCCCGATAGCCTCATCAATCGACAATAACGGGACTACTCGCCCCCCAAATCCCCCCCTCAGCCCCCTTGCGCTCCCCATCTTCCTAAAACTCCGCCTTCAAACTCGCCTCCTGACTAACATCCGGCCACCATCTTTGAATATTCCTACGATACCAATCCACCGTCTCCCTTAAACCCTACGCAACCCCCACCTCTGCCGCCACCCCAACTTCTCAACCTTCGTCCCATCAACGCGATAATCACTATCATTGAACAGCCTATCCTTAATCCACTCCAAACACTTATGAAAGTCTTTTTGCAGGGACTACCCGAAGATCTCAAGCATATGGATTGCGACTTCGAGGTTGGTGACGGCGAAGGACGAGTTCAGGTTGTACGCTTCGCTGACGATGCCTCTGTGCAGGAGCGTGTCGAAACCGTCGGCTGCGTCGGCCGCGTAGAGGTAGCGACGCACGTTTAGGCCTGTGCCTTGGATTGTGAGGGGTTTTTGGGAGGAGAGGAGGGTGTAGAAGCGGGGTATAATTTATACCACCCTAAACTTTTTTCAGAACCCGTGAAAGCATTGTTGGTGTAGGAAATTAAAGGGGGAGGGGGAGGGGGAGGGGAGGGGTGGAGTGGATGCGGCTTACTTTCTGGATACTGACAAGGCCCGTAAACGTTGTTGCTCCGTACCACCAGCGCCGGAATATCGAACGACTTCGCGTACGCCGAAACATACATCTTAGCCGCCGCCTTCGACGCCGAGTATAGATTCGTAGGCATGAATTGCTCCGTCTCATCTACGAACCTCCCCGTCGCATCACTATACACTTTATCCGTACTAACATAAATGAACCTTCTAGTCCGACTGACCTCGCTATGATGCCTTATAGCCTCTAACAGCCGCTGGGTAGCCACCACATCACCGAGCGTGAACCCCCGCGGGTCTTCGAAGGAGTCTTGCACGTAGGAGTAGGCGGCGAAGTGGATCATGTAGTCGATTTCGTGGTCGGCTAGGACTCGCGAGATTACGGGTTGGTCAGTCAGGTCGCCTTAGATAAAGTGGAAGTTTGGGAAGGCGTCGAGGCAGCGGACGTTAAAGAGGGAAGAGACTTTGTCGAGTTTGTCTAGGCAGACGATTTTGTATTCGGGGTAGCGGACGGTGAGGTGCCGGGTCACCCAGCTGCCGCTGTATTGGTTGTTGTATTAGGAGATGATACAGATTGGGGTGGGGGGAAGATAGGGAAGCGAGATGGACGCACGTGAAGCCTGCTCCACCCGTGATCAAAATGCTTCTAATGTCTAGCATCGGGTCGAATCTGGTCGTGCCAACGAGATGTAGACTGTCATGATCGCTCAAAGATGCAGGGACGGTGTCGTTGTGTGATTTGTCTCGAGGCCTTAAGGTGAAGCTCTCTAGTGGTGTCAATGTGAGAGCCATAATCTTCCTTCGAGATAAAAGTTTGCTTCTAGTGGGATCTCGAACCATAATAGTACTAGGGAAATGTAGCTGTACTCAACTCAATGCTATACACTTTTGCTGAGCTGCTACCGTGGGTAAATTAGGCCTTGATAATGCCTGAGGATTTTCCCGTACCTGTCAAAGCCATATACGTATGTCAAGAGGTTGAAAGAAATGTCGGTCTTTGATGGCATCATTGAACCATGCAAGGAAACAGGGTCATTAGCAAGGCACTAAACTTTATCTAAGGTTCCCTTGCGTCGGAGCGTCTATTATATCTAACTGCGGTTGACTCTATTAGACCTTAAATTGTATACCAAAGACCCTGTGTTATTAGCCTATAAATTCTAATTATGTGACTAGGGTGGGGTTGCAAAATCATTCGGACACATCGGATACCGAGCCGTATATCGTTTAGAATGATAGCTATTCATTGTTTGCGCCCTTGACGCATCGACAAGGTCTTCGTATCATCAGCCAAAGCTTTCTACGCCTTAGCACTTTGAATCTCAAAGTTGATGGTAAATAGTCCAGCTGAAGAGAGACACGAGCCTAAAGAGTGAATCTCTCCCTATCACAAAACATTGAGACACTCTAATCGAAATCTATTGCGGGATAAGATGAAATTTTTAATTTCGGTGTGTTATTCCACTTCTTATTAGCCTCGAAGCGAACGGAAGTTCTCTTTACGGCATCAAGCCGTGGGTTCATACGAGCGTAACTTATTAAGCTTCCTTATCTTCGGTTCAAGAAGCAGTATTAAATTGAAGTGTTGACTAACTCGACAACAAAGGCAATAGCATAATTGCCAACCAATTCAAAGATCTACTTCTGGCTCAAGACAAGCTAATAACCATTTCAAGAGCGAGGATTGAGAACCGGGAAGAGATACTTAGGTGAGTTATTCAAGGCCCTCGGGTGCATATCTCTAGGAGACTATAGCATAGCTAGTCCTGACTAGCAAGCTTACTAAACACATCCCTAGCTGCGTACTAAACTACGCCGGCACACACGACCCACCTAACGCCGACTAGTGCGAAGACTATAAAATCGAAAGATTTTACTTAAATGTCCTTAGCGTCCACACTATTGTTAACTACTACTACTAACTTAGTATTCACATTATATAATTTAGGTTAATATATATCTATATATAGTTAGAAGAGGATATTAATTACCTTTTACCCTTAAGAAATTAAATAAGCCCTTTTATTAAGGCTTATAATATAAAAGAATTTAATTATTTTAATATTTTATTATATTATAAAGAAGATAAAGTATAGTAAAATTAAAAAGAATAGTAATAAAATAGGCTAAAAGAAATAAATAATAATAATCTTATTTATATTAAAGTAAGAATTATAATTAGTATATAATAAATATAATTAAATCCTTAATATAAAAAATCTTCTATACCCCTAAAAAAGTAGCTATATAAATAGCTTAAAAATAATATTTTAATTATCTTAAATTAAATAAAAACTTTAAATATAAAAATATTTAAAAAAAATCTATATATATTATATATAGTATAGTGATTTTCTAGTATATAAATATTACTATAGCTATATAATTATTTATAGCTAGCTAAAACTAAATAGTCTTTATTAAAGTATTTATACTTTTTTCTTTTATATTAAACTACTTAAAAATATTATAAAAATAGTTTTTTCAGCTTAAATAAATAATATAATTTAGTTAATTATAGATTAAACTTATATTTAAATAATAATTAAAAAGGCTTAAATCTTTTATATTAAATTTTTTATTTAGTTAAGCTTTTAGCTATAAAATAATCTTTATATTTAAGCTAATAATAATAAGATTATCTATATATATAGTATTTAGCTTTAAGTATAAGAATATATTATAATCTTTAATAAGTAAATAATATTCTAACTCTATAAAAAAGTTAAATAAATATTAACACTAGATTTATAGTAATTATTTTAAGCTATATAAAACTTTATAAAGTTTATAAATCTTTTCTATCCTATTTTTAAAGCTTTTAGGCTATTTAATATAAATATTTTTAGTAATATTGCTATAAAAGAAAATAGTTTTAATATTTATTTATTTAAGTTTAAAATTATAGGCTATAGCGATAGTAAAAAGTATTTTATAGCTTATTAATTTAATAACTATAATAAAGGTATTATAAAAATTAATACTTTTATATTATTAAAAGCTTTTTATAATTTAGTAAGTTTTATACTAAATAATTTTATTAATAAGCCTTTTTTTAAAAGTATATATTTAATAGTTGCTTAGGATATTAATTCTTTTTAAAGGATTAATTAAGTTTTAAGTATTATTTTTTATAAAAGAATTAAGCTCCTCTTTTATAGCAAATTATTAGTTTATCTTTTAGTAAGTATTAGCTATAACTTTATTATATATTTTAAAATCTTTTAATTCTAGGTAATTAAATACTATAAAGTATACTATTACTTAGATAAAAAAATACTTATATAAGGGCTTAGCTTTTTTTATAAATAATTATAATAAATATAGTATTAGTAAGCAAATTTAATAATTTAAAAAGCCTATATAAGTAAAAGTAATAATTAAGTTAAATATCTTTTATTAAAATAATAAAAAAAGTATTTTAATATAATTTAATTCTATAGATATATAGTTTAATTCTATAAATATAAATAAGTTAGGAGTTAAGTACTTTAATTCTAAAGTATTTATAAATAAAATTAGATAATATAAAATTAATTAATTAAATTTAGCTATTAATATATTATTTTTAGAGAATAAAAAGGAGAAATCTTTTTAATTAATATTATTATAGTAAGTAAAATTTATATATTTAATATTAAAGTCCTCTGAATAATACTACTTTAATATTAATAATACTATAGAAAGTCCCTTTTTTTATAATAAAAATATAGAAAAAAAGAGGATTTTTTCTTTATCTTTAGCTAATCTTTTCTTATTAAAAAGCTACTCTATATAATGATAATATTAAATAAAACTATTAAATATTAATATATAATAAGAATTATTACTTTTAAAGCTAATAAGCCTCTTTTAAGTAGCTTTAGTTTTAAATTTAGTTTAATTCTTATTAGCTAGATTTTAATTCTAATATATATTATAAGTACTAAATTTCTTAAGTAAACTAAAGTTTAATTAACCTCCTTTAGTAGCTTTATAGGGCATTATATCTAGCCTATTAACTAGGTAATAGTTTTAAATATAGATTATAATATAAATAGCTTTTATAATTATAGTTTTAAAAGGCTTACTACTTTTAAATAAAGTATATATATATATTATAATAGTTTAGCTATTTCTTTTAGCTATTTTATTTATTTAAAATTATCTAGAATAATAAGTTCTTAAATAATACTATATTTAATATAGTAATTATTAAATAAATTACTATTATAAGTATTAAAATCGCTATATAAGTATTTAATAAATATATTTAAGTTAATTTTAATCTTCTTTTTATAGCTAGTAAAAATCTACTAAAAAGTTGGCCTAGATTTATTACTTATAATATAGATTTCTATATTTTTAATAAATATATAAAAGTATTTTTACCTAAAAAATTAATTTTATAATTAATTTAAAAATATTTATATAAATCAGTTTATTTTAATATTAGCTAAATAAAATATAGTTTTTATAAAATAAATTCTTTATTTAGATTTTAATATAAATAATATAATAGTAGTTTTAAATTATAGAAAACTTTATTAAGTTAATACTATTTATTATACTTAATAGATAAATAATATTCTACTCCCCTATATAGTTTACAAGCTTATATTAAAAAGCTATACTCTTTTTATTAGCATTTTTAAGTTAAATAAAAAATACTTTTAAATATAAATTAATCTTTGAATAGTTTAACTTAAAATAATAAAAATAATAGTTTATAAAATATATTAGAATACTATTATACCTAATTTTAATATTTTTAAATATAAACTTTAGTAGATAGCTTAGCTACTAAAGCTATAAAAAAGATATTAAATTAAAAGGGTTATTTAATATATAAAGAATATTATTAATAATAAGTAAATATATACTATTTTAACTTATTAATAAGAGCTAAATAGTTCTATAGGCAGTTATATATCTACTATTAGCCTAGCTTATAATTAAAATAAGCTAAGTAAGGTATTTAATCTTAATAAAGACTAAAAGATTACTAATAATATAGCAAGAGGCTTTATAGTTAAAGAACTATATAGGTTTTATTCTAGAGATAAAGCTAGCTATAAATATTTAAACTAATATATTCTTATTAATATTAATAAAAGTAATACTAGCGGAAAGTTTAATAATATTTTTTAAATTATTTTAATAATTATCTTCTTTATCCTCCTTTTTATTATTATTTAGCTAGGGTTTCTTATCCCTCTAGCTATTACTTTAACTTTTATTTTAAAAAAATTATTTAGCCCCTTAAGTATAAGCTATTATATTAAAGAAATAGGGATTTAGGCACCTTACTTTCTTATAAAACTTTATAAATTTAAAAATATCTACTTTTTATTTATTTTTTATA